GGTACATACAGAACATTATTTAAAGCCAGAGTTTTACCAGAAGTCAGCTTGAGTAAAACCTTGCCTTTGCCTAGCACTTCAGAGCTGCTAGAGTTCCCCATATACACACGTTCACCAGTGTTTCCATCCTCGAACTCGGTGAAAAACTCCTTCCTTGCGCAGAAATGCTTCGAAGCGCCAGTGTCAACTACCCATTCTGAACTGTTCTCCACCAGATTAACTTCTGAGACCACCGCAACAATGATCTCATCATCTTCTTCTACAACGTGCATCTGTGGCTTGTTGTCATTCTGGCGGTCTGAGCGGTGTTGGCATTGGTAAGCCTTGTGGCCAGGTAAACCGCAGACATAACACTTGAACGTCTTTCCTTCCGGTTTGGCCTTTCCTGACTTCTTGAAGTTGGTAGCCTTCTGTGGTTTTGTCTTTTTGTCTTGATTCCCACGTTTCATGATCTTCTTAAATTTGGACTCAACCAAGTTAGCTCTAAAAGATAAATTACTCATAGAATTAGTAAGCTTATCTTTTAAACGGTTGGCTTCTTCAATCTTCATATGGCCCACAAGTTCTTCAAGCGAAATGTCTCTCTTCTTATGCTTAAGAGAGTTGCGGTAATCGGACCAGGACTTGGGCAGCTTCTCAATGAGTACATTGGCTTGCAGCACCTCACACATTTGTATCCCTTCAGCGATGATGTCAGCGACTAAGTTCTCATAGTCATGGACTTGATCCATTATTGGCTTGTCGTCTGTCATCTGGAATTTGAGCCATTCGCCGACAACGTACTTCTTGATCCCCGCATCATCCGTACCATACTTCTTGTCGAGAGTGTCCCATATTGCTTTGGCACTCTTTTCTCTAAGGAACATATCAAATAGTTTATTTGACATGTGGCTGAGCAGATGTCCTCGTACCGTCTTGTTATCCTTCTCGAATTTCTCGTAGGTAGCGAGAGCGGCGGCGACAGTTGCTAAGGCATCATCATTGAGGATCGCATCCGCATCATTACCGACAGCTGGGGTTGGCGGCATGGTAGGTGGTGGCTTGAGCAATACGTAATCAAGATCAAGTTGCTCGAAGAATATCAAAATTCTTTGGGACCACCTTCTATAGTTCTTTCCATCAAGTGCATCGAGCTTGGAAAGATCGGGAATGAGTTTGCTCAAAGGTGTCGACATGATTGCAATTTATGAAAATTCGTTTCTAAATTGTTGGATATATGAACTGCAAAACTACACCGTTAGCACTGACTGAAAATATAAACAATAATTAAGAAGAACAGATTCGTAAACCGTGTCGTGGTAAGAACCATTGCCTTAGAAACGAATTCGCCTCGATGTGTGTAATCGCTGCAGTAGGCGGACTGTCCCCCGAGGTTAACACGGTCGCTCCGAATTCCGTACACTCGAAACCGGAGTGGACTGCTGGTGGTATTGCACTTCTGATCGGAAAGTACTCAGAGAGAAGTCATAGAGAGAACTTTAGAAAACACTTTGTATGTGAATTGTGAATGTTTTTGAGTGAGTTGAGAAGCTGAATATAGCTCTCTATTTATAGGCTAGAAATAGGGTTAAAATCATCCATAAAATTTCAGGATTAAACCTCTTATTTGTAACAGCTGAAACGTCTAGATGAACCTGACTCAGAAATAGTCCAGGTTCATTGTATCATTATTCAGCTGTTATAACTCCCGAAATTATATCATGTAACCCCTGGAATTAAATCAAATAACTCATGTAACTCCTGATATTAACAGCTTGTCTCCTCTGTACAAAGCTGTAAATCAGTCCAGGTACATCTTAACGTTTCTGATTTAATTTAGGAATAAACTGTTTAATTTCTGATAAAAAATAATTCAGCTGTTATTATTTGAAATTCAAACAGTCCTCAGCAGCCTATAAATATCAGTTGATATCTTTCACATTTTCCATTTGTTTCTTTCAAAGAGAAATTCCTCAAGAATTTTCTCTAAAAAGATAGTATCCGCGTGGACGTGTCGAAGACATGTATTACCACGACCACGACCACGACCACGACCTCGACCTCGACCACGACCACGACCACGAGCCGAGCCGAGCCGAGCCGAGCCGTGCCGAGCCGAGACGAGACGAGACGGATGGACGGTGGCGACGGTGCGCGAGAGCCCCCCTTGTTCTCTATCAGTCAACAAGGAATTGGAATGTCAAGCCTTAAATACCATTCCCAATAGTGTTTCCAACACTATGTGGGATTGAGCATTACCAACAGCTGGTATCTTATTCGAGTTGTATATGCGAAAATGCTCAGTTCAATTTGAAGCATGTTTCTCATCAAAGGTTTTTCCAGTTCCTGATGGGGTTGAATGATTCATACACTGCCATTCAAAGTCAGTTATTGTTGATGCAACCCTTACCTGCAGTCAACAATGCCTACTCCATGATAAGTCAGGAAGAATCCCATCGCCTTCGGTTGTCTGGTGTTGTCCCTATCATGGATTCTACAGCATTAGACTCTAATGCTTCTGGAAATAGTCGAAGGTTCATTGAAACCTGTGATCACTGCAAGGTGAAGGGCAACAAGAAGGAGAATTGCTATCGCCTCATTGGTTTTCCACCTGACTTCAAGTTCAACAAAAAAAGAGCTCCCAAGCTGCAATGGTAGCTCACTCTAATCGTGAGGTGGTTCCTCCAGCTCCACCACTCTTCACATCTGAACAGTATCAACAGCTTTTGGGGCTTTTGAATCATGCTTCAACTCAGACTTCTAGTCCAGATTCCTCTATGAATTTGGCAGGTACTTTCTGCTCTCTTGTTCACAATTCAATTGAATGGATTCTGGAGCAACTGGCCATATTTTGTCAGACCTTAAATGCATGATTAATCATGTGCCCTGTACATCCATACCTAGATATGTTCAGCTGCCTAATGGTAAATCGTTTGTTGTCACACACATAGGTTCTGTTAAGTTTCCAAATGGTCTCCAGTTGTCTAATGTGCTTAATGTGCCCCATTTTATTCACAATCTTATTTATGCCTCAAAATTAGCTCATGAGTTAAAGTGTGTTGTTTTGTTCTATCATGATCTTTGCATATTGTAGGATCTTTACAATGACATGATGAGGGTGATTGGTAAAGAGTTTAGAGCTCTTTACATGCTCAGGTTTCCCTTAAATTCTGTTTTTTTTCTTTCTATTTATGCCTTAAAACACTCTGCATGTAAGCCTTTTGTTAGTACTGCCACTTTTCTCAATACTTGTAAATCTATTGATGCAAATAAAACAAATCTTTGGCATGCTTGTTTAGGACATGTTCCATCTTATCAATTAAAAAAACTGCATATGTTTCATAATATGAATTTGCATAATGAAACTGTTCAAAATTGTTCTATCTTCCCTTTAGCTAGACAATCTAGACTTCCTTTTCCATTCAGCAATTCTAGGACTATTACTCCTTTCACATTGATTCACATTGATTTGTGGAGGCCTTATCGAATTTCCACTCATGCTGGTCAACGTTTTTTCTTGACCATTGTAGATGACTATACTAGGATGTCTTGGGTGTACTTATTGAAGCTTAAGAGTGATCCTGTTTCCTGTCTTTGAACATTTATCTTAATGGTTCAAAATCAATTTTCTGTTTCAATTAAAGTTGTTCGTAGTGATAATGGTCGTGAATTTTTTTAATTCTGAATGTTCTCCATTATTTGAATCCTTGGGAATTATTCATCAAAGTTCATGTGTTCGTACTCCTCAACATAATGGGATTGTAGAACGTAAGCATAGGCGTCTTTTAGAAGTTGCTCGGGCTCTTCGTTTTCAGTCTCGAGTTCCCATTAAATTTTGGGGAGAATGTGTCTTAACTGCATGCTACATCATTAATAGGTTGCCCTCTTCAGTCTTGTCTTGAAAAACCGCTTTTGAACTGTTATATCATAAACCTCTTTCTTATGACCATTTTAGAGTGTTTGGATGCTTATGTTTTGCAACAAATCTTAATCCTCAAGATAAATTTGATGTTCTTGCCTTTGCTTCTGTTTTTTGGGATACTCTCCAACTCAAAAGGGTTACTTGTTGTTCAATCTTGATAATAAAAATTATTCATTAGCAAGGATGTTAAGTTTCATGAAAATCAGTTTCCTTTTCATCAATCTTGTTCTTAATTCTGATTATGTTGTTTTCCCATCTACTACTTTTGTTTTTTATGATGATTTCTTGGTAATAAAAACTCCAAGTCCTCAAAATTGTGGTTCCCTTCATAATGATCCTACTGAGTTGGTTACTGTTGATGCTGAACATACTTCTCAAGTTCCAGTTCAGTCTTCTTCTTCAATAAGTGCACCTGTCCCTTCTAGGAGGTCCTCTAGAGTATCTAATCCCCCCACATGGTTAAATAGTTTTGTATGTTCTTGTCAATCTTCTTCTTCAAATTTCAGTTCTCCTTCTTATTCTCACTTACCAATTCATACTCAAGTATTATTCTCTTCCATTTTCAAACTTCTGAACCTCAATCTTATTATGAGGCTGTTCAAAATCCACTTTGGGTTCAAGCAATGAAAGAGGAAATTCAATCATTGGAATCTAATAGAACTTGGTCCCTTGTTCCATTACCATCAGGAAAAATTCCAATTGAATGCAAGTGGGTTTATAGAGTTAAGTACAAAGCATTAGGTGAGGTTGAGAGATATAAAGCTCGCTTGGTTGCTAAAGGTTATAACCAAAATGAGGGAATTGATTTTATTGACACATTTTCTCCTGTGGTTAAAATGGTTACCATTCAAACCATTTTAGCACTTGCCTCTATATTCTATTGGCCATTATTGCAAATGGATGTATTCAATGCCTTTTTGGAAGGAGATCTTTCTGAGGAAGTTTATATGCAGCTAGCTACCGAAGGGTTTTTGCAGTTAGGGGAGAGGATTGTGTGTAGACTGTAAAACTCATTGTATGGCCTTAAAGCAAGCTTCCAGCCAGTGGAATCTAAAATTAACAGAAGCATTGGTCTCAACTGGCTATGTTCAGAGCAAGTATGACTACTTCTTGTTCATTAAGAGGCAATGACTACTTCTTGTTCATCAAGAGGCAACAAGGTAAAATTGCCTTGTTATTAGTGTATGTTGATGATTTGGTAATCACAGGTGATATTAATGAATTGATTACTGAATTAAAGAAAATGTTGAATAGTTATTTTAAGATGAAGGATTTGGGTGAGCTAAAGTATTTCTTAGGAATTGAGGTATTGAAATCAAAGGAAGGCATACTTTTGAATCAAAGGAAGTATGCACTTCAGTTAATCAAAGATACTGGTTTGGAGGAAGCCAAGTCTACTACTACTCTTTTAGAGCAGATTCTGAAGTTGACTACTTTGGATTATGATAAGATTGTGCAGCAAGATAATGAAGATGAATATAATCTAGTTGAAAAGTCAGCTTATCAAAGACTTATTGGGAGGCTGATTTATTTGACATATACAAGGCTTGATATTACATATGCAGTGAATTTTCTCAGTGAATTCATGCAGCAACCTAAGAGATCTCATATAGAGGCAGCCTTAAGAGTAGTTAAGTATGTCAAGAAAGAACCAGGACAGGGAATCTTGCTAAAATCTTCTTCAAGTTGTCAAATTTCAGCCTATTGTGATTTAGATTGGGGATCATGTCCAATGACAAGAAAATCTGTGACAAGTTTTTGCATTAAGATTGGTGATTCACTGGTTTCATGGAAATCAAATAAATAGAATGTTGTAGCAAGATCTTCAACATAAGCAAAGTATAGATCTATGGTAGTGGTCACTTCTGAGCTGGTATGGTTGCAAGGCTTACTTGCAGAGCTTAGCATAAAGGGTCTGAAACCTGTAAAACTTTACTGTGACAACAGAGATGCACTTCAAATAGCTGCTAATCATGTGTATCATGAAAGGACAAAGAACATTGAAATCGACTGTCATTTTGTGAGAGAAAAAATACAGGAAGGGATGATTCAAACAAAACATGTTTCAATACATGAGCAGCTTGCAGACATCATGACCAAGGCTTTGGGAAGTCAGCAGCATAGTTATCTGCTATCCAAGTTAGGAGTTGAAAATGTTTATATGCTATCTGCTATCCAAGTTAGAAGTTGAAAATGTTTTTCAACATCCAACTTGAGGGGGAGTGTTGAGTTTGTAATTAGTTTTCTGTTATTAATTAGTTAGGAGCATTTTTGAGTTAGTTAGGTTGTTAGATTGGAAGTTTGTATATATATGTGAACAGATTGTAAATTTAAGTTAGTGTGGATATGAAAGTTAATTTTCCATTTTCTCGTATTATATTTTAACAGTTTTGACACGTAGTCGTCCCTGATGTTGGTAATTTTTGCATCGATTTGCTTTATGGACAATATGAGATGCGCACGATAAATAAAACTCGTATAGTTTTAATCCTAAAAACACGTTCACTTGCACGATTGAGTCAATGTCGCTCCTTTAGCTTGTGTAATGTGCTCTTCAAGATAATATAAAAATGTTTGTGAATCGAATGCAGAACTTTTTGGATGTATGTATTGATGAAACTCAAAGTTCTTTTGTCCCTGATTTCTTGATTAATGACAACATCATCACAACTTATGAGTTATTGCGCTCGTTTGTTCGGAAGCGAAAGGGCCGTAAAGGTTATTTCGCTTTAAAACTAGAAATGAACAAAGCTTATGACCATGAGGAGTGAAATTTTGTTTGGGAAATAATGTCGAAAATGGGTTTTAAGGATAGTTGGATTGTTATGATTCAACGATGCGTAAGCACTGTGTCATATTCAATTGTAATCAATGGAGTCGTGGGGGAGAGTTTTCTACCGTAAAGAGGTCTTTGCCAAGGTGATCCACTTAGCCCATACTTGTTTAACGTAGCGCTACTTGCTAAAGGTAAAGTATTGCCCTCACGGTGAATTTATGTCTGCTCGTTTAGTATCTCATCTGTTTTGTATCTAGCGAAGCATCTTAAGTGGTCGGGGTTGTTGGAGAAAGGCTTGAGGTGGAAGGTGGGTATATTTAATTTCATATCCATTTGGAATGATATTTTGTTGCCAGGGTTGGAACCACGAAAAATCATCATCACGAGTTGATAAAGTTCGATGCTGCTGTACGGCAACTTTAATATAAAACTAAGGAAAAGCTCTATCGAAAATGTTAATAAATTTTTAACATTTTCGATAAAATGTTGCCTAAATTATTATTTTTTTTATCGGAAATATTAATTTCGTTAACTAATTTCCGGTAAAATCCAATATCAACTTTTCGGGTAGAAAAATAAAGTTTTAGGTAGCTGTCGTAACCGGTTTTCGCCCGGACACGAATGTTTCTTGGCGGAAAAGCGAGTGAATAAATAAATGGTTTTTAATTAAATGTTTTAGAGTCGCCATCGAACCTTTTGGGTTAGGTAGGTCTAATACCTAAAAATTATCTTTTAAAAGAGTTTTAAGAAAAAAACTATTTAAAAGAAAAACTGATCTGCGTGTAACCAAAAATTCATTCTTTTTAGTAATAAAAAGGGATTCGTGGTCGGTTACGTTTGGGGAAGGATTAGCACCCCCACAACGCCAAAAAAATTGGTACCCATTGATTATAAATTGTCTCTGAAAGTAGAAATATAAGAATTCGAATATAAATTTAATTTATGATCCTGTTATTTCTAATTCAAACATATAATTATAAAGAAAAATATTTTTTATAAAATTGAAGTAAATATTTATATTTTGTAAGGTTTTATAAATATGATATTTATTTAAAAATATCAGAAAATGATATCTAGTTACTTTAAGACAACTCATTTCTTCAATATTAAAAATGAATATTAATAAGAAAATAATTTGAATAAAAGTAAAACTATATATATATATATATATATTTATTTATTTATTTTTATAAGTAAGGTATTTATTTATTTAAAAATATTGGAATAGAATTATTAAAGTACTAAATTAAAAATATTGAAATTAAAGGAGTAATAATAAAAATAAATAAAATAATGATCAAAATAAAGAAAATTAAAATTATAAAATTAAAATATAAAATATCAAAATTCATGACCCTAATTCAAAATATAATAAAATCTAAGTACTCATAGTGTAATTTACTATTAATTAATATTAAGAATCAAAATATAAATTATTAAAAACATTAGGGACTAATTATAGTATTTACCTTAAATATATATAGCTAAAGTAATTCAACGATTTGGTTTCAACAAGGAAGCAAGGTAGATTTACTTTTCCATTCAATCAAAACTAAATTCTTATTTTCACAATATATATAAAACAAAAGCATTTATTGTTAGGTTTGGAAGGTATTGATTATGGGGCTTCTTTTAATCAATTACTTATTGTTTATATGCATTTGGTTTCAACTACACAATTATTTTATAGTTAATACGTGGATTATGAGGCATATACATATATTAATTAATGACTAGTATTAAATAAAGATAAAATGAAGGATAATAATTAAAGTATTAAATTAAAAATATTTAAACTTAAAGAATAATAATATAAATAAAATAAAAGTAATAATGTAAATAAAATAAAAGTGCAATTAATATTGACTAAAATAAAATTATAGAATTGAATAAAATAAGAATAAAACTTATAGTTAAAAATGAAAATTATTTAAATATTATAAATTAAAATATAAAATATTAAAATTAAAGGTATTAATTCGAAATAATATAAAATATAATTATTATTAGTATAATTTATCCATAATTAATTATAAGATATTAAAAAATAAAATTATATGAACTAAATTAAATATTTACCTTAAATATAAACATAAAGCAGGGACAAAAACATAAATTAAATAAAATTAAAGATCCAAACTTAAATACTTAGAAAATTAATTTAGTAACTAAATTGCAAAAGGATATAAATTTGGAGGGACCACGGATGTGATTTTGCCATGTGGGAAATTACAGAAACTTCCCTCACCAAAATGACGCCGTTTTGGTGAGGGTATAAATACCCCAGAAACCGGCCTTTAGGCCATTTTTCTCTCATTTTTCACTTTGCTTCTCTCTTTTTAGAGAGAGAAGCTCTGAACTCTCTCTAGAATTCCCTCACCGGAGGGAATTCCGACCACCGTCACAGCTGTTCTCCAGCGTCGATCGCCACAGCCGACCACCACACACGTTGGCTAAAAAACGTGAAAACTACCTTAAATCGTAGATCATACATCCCTAAAGCCAAATCTAGCTTCCATTTCTTTTAAAAATATCATAAACTTTCATAGATCTAAATTTATACCTTCAACGATTCAAGTCTCCGATGAAGCGTAGAGACTCCAACCACTGTGGGTAGGTATTCTCGATCTCTTTTCTTCTTTTGTTTTAATGTTTGGCTGCTATGGTTTTTTTTCTGGTGCTTGCTTGCTCTCTTTCCCCCTTGTCTTTGCAGGTTCGGTGGTGGCATTTTATAGGCCACCATGGTACTCCTTGGACCGAATGATTGAGTGCCCTTTGGTGAGTCACCGAAGCTACGATGGTGACATATCGAAGGGCTACGGCGTGTGCGGCTGCCTTCACTTCTGGAGTCTTCGATTGTGGCTACAACGTCGTGGCAGCAGCTGGATGGGGAACATAATGGCGGAGTGGTTGAAGTAGAGGCGGCGTAGCAATTGGAGTGGTTGAAGGCGGCGCCGAAATCACCCTAGGGTTGGTGAACCCTAGGGTTTCTGTTGGGAGAGATCTTGACCGTTGGATCATGGCCAGATCCAACGGCTGGAATTTGCTGGTGGCTGGAGATAGATGCTAAAAACCCTAGATGGGTGTTGGGTCGGGTCTGGATCTGGGCCTTTAGGATCTCATTTGTAATTGGGTTCTGATTTGGGCCTGTAATAATAATAATATTTAATAATAATAATAATAATAATAATAATAATATTTATAATAATAATTTTAAAAATGAAAAAATTAGTGTATACAGCTGCCCCTCTTTGCTCATTCTTGTGTTAACAAGAATAAAGCATAGACAAAAAAGACAATAATTTTTTCATTTAGCTTTTTTTGAGTAGGATGGAAATGTTGAAAACATTCTGCCCAGAGGTCTTATGAATGGTCCGGATGACTTATCATCTTGCTCTGAAGGCTTACAGATGACCCGGAGGATTTAAGATCAAGAAACCTTTGAAAATCAGTTCCTTAAAATCTCATTTGAAAACATCTTGCACTGGAGGTCTTATGGATGACCCGAAGGTTTTGAAAACATCATGCACTGAAGGTCTTACAGATGACCCGAAGGTTTTGAAAACATCCTGCACTGAAGGTCTTACAGATGACCCGAAGGTTTTGAAAATATTCTGCACTGAAGATCTTACAGATGATCCGAAGGCTTTTTGAAAACATCCTGCACTGAAGGTCTTACGGATGACCTGAATACTTTTTTGAAAACATCCTGCACTGATGGTCTTACAGATGACCCGAAGGCTTTTTTAAAAACATCCTGCACTTAAGGTCTTACAGATGACCTGGAGGTTTTTTTTTGAAAACATCATGCACTGAAGGGCTTACAGATGACCCGAAGGTTTTTTGAAAACATCATGCACTGAAGGACTTACAGATGACCCAAAGGTTTTGAAAATATCATGCACTGAAGGGCTTACAGATGACCCGAAGGTTTTTTGAAAACATCGTGCACTGAAGGGCTTACAGATGACCCGAAGGTTTTGAAAACATCATGCACTGAAGGGCTTACAGATGACCCGAAGGTTTTGAAA